ATAATAAAGAAAGGACTTAGAACAGCAGCAATTCCGCATTGCTCTCGAAGGACTACGTAATAACAACGTTATTATTAATAACTAGAATATTCTAAAGAGTCGAGTTGCTATTACTTTCTTTCGCGCCGAAGTTGATACGTTTGATAATGCTTTGCGGGTTTATAAGAAGAAAGCACAAGTGAACGAGTATAACTATATTAAAATGTCTGCGCTTAATACTTTTATTAAGCAAATCAAAGCTTATTACACTAGCTAAAGGGTTAAAACCGTCGATTAAGATAAAAGTAGTAACCTTTATAAAACTATTCTTCTTTGTATCGAGGTTAGAGTTATACTTACAAAGAATCGTTAGACTAAAAGAAGCTTAGTTAATAGTGCTTTAAGTACTGTAAAAGATTTCAATTGGCTTCTTAAAGCTAATTATGACAAAGATATTCTTATTATGCTCGTCGCTTTCGATAAGTACGATAGACTTTACTTTTATAAAAACGCTAAAGGTCAACAAGTCGTGCTAATTACTTTTTTAAAAAGAGAGTTTATATTAAAGAATATAGCTTGCACTCGAACATAGTTCTTTTTTATTATTGCTTTCGCTATTACTATTTATAAATCTTAAAGGATTACAGCCGATAAGATAGTTACGAATTTGATTGTAAGAGATCACGTTATTAGATTGAGTTACGTCGCTATATCTCGGGTTAAGACTTTAAAAGGTCTTCTTATTAAAGAGCTATTCGATTACTTTCGTTTTCAAGTTACGAAAGTTTCGAAGACTAAGATTATAAGACTCGCTAATGTAGTACGTCGCTTTTTTTAGCATGTTCTTTTTTCTATTTTAAAATTAGATTAAGTCACGTTGTTAAGGATTCGTGGTTGTGGATATATAAAGGTCACGTTTTAGTGATGGAGCTAAAGGTACTGACAATTGAAGACTAAAGATATACTATTATTTCGAACTTCAAATCATTTAAACAAACACCCTTCTTTAAATTCTGTGAACTCTTAATTGCGCGTATATACCTTGGTAGGTGCATTCCTAAGCTCGCTTTGATGTTACGTAAGCTGCTTGCCATTTACGTCAACTTACTTGATATATACTTACCTAGGTACGCAGCAATTTTAATATACCCACGGTACAGGCTTAAGTACTACCTTAGAGGCAGGTAGGGGGTCATTTGAGCGGTCTTCTGACCTTCTTTTATAAAAGACGATTATTAGACCGTTTAAAATCAGTACTAGTTACAAATCAAGAATAATTCACTTTTTTAATCGTCCCCGAGCTTAAGACCGTCTTACGGCCGTCTTATAGCCGTCCTCGTTTATATTTTTAAAACAAGCTTACTAATAAGCTCGTTTAAAAAAATTGAAATAGTTCGATAATAATTTTAAAGAAAATATAATTATAAATAAAAATCGTTTTTTAAATAAAATCGTTTTAAAAATAATTTAATAGATTCGATGCTAAGATATTTCTCGGTATCGCTGCTACGGCTTATATATCAACGCTTTAAATTTTTTATAATCGGAATCGATCGATTAAGCAAAAGTTCACCCGCGCATGCTATGCCTTGTATCGCTTGCCAAGTAAGAAAGAAAAATGGGGGGGAGGAGGATAGTAGTAGAAAGTACACTGCTATGCAATTGAAAGAAAATAAAGATTACTTGCTTATTAATCTACGTTTTCGAAGACAGTTTCAAGTTCGGGGACGGCTTTAAGACGGCTATAGAACGGCTATAAGACGGTCTTAAAACGATCTTTTCGTAAAAAGACCGACTTTTATAAACGACTATTTAATCGACCAAAACAATCTTATTTTAATAATAATCTTTTCACGAAAAGACGAGTTCTTATAAAAAACGATCCAATCGATTAAAACAGTTTTATTTTAACTACGATTTAAATTATTTAAATCGTTTGTTTTCAGATTCTACTTAATTTTAAGTATCGGCTTAAGGTGATCCACTAATAGTCAGTGCACTGACTTTGTGACCTGCGGGCTCTCGGTCACAGTCAGGACAAGCAAGTGTCCCAGGTCAAGCAAGTGTCCCATTTCAATTATTTCAACTTGTATTAGAAATAACTTAGCAAGGAATATTGCTATATTATTCAAAACTAGATGCATAGATCGGCGTAATCGAGATCTTTAAAAGTCTAACCAAGTATAAATCTTTTTATCAATAATTTAATAATTAATAGAATAAATAATGTTTGATTATCGATTGAATTTGATTGAAAATCAAATATTTTGTATTGAAAATTTTATATTTTTTAATATTAATCGTCTTTTAAATTGAGTTTTAATATGAAAATTTGATATTTAAAAAACTCTTAATTAAGCGGACTCGTACCATTTGTTTTTTTTATTATAACTTTTTTAATAATTATTTTATTTAAGTTACAAATATAATCGAAAAGTTGATGTTCTTGAATTTTCGCTAAATTGTCCGAGCTTTTTTCGCTGTTACAATTATAATTTTGCGTAATAAATATTATTTTACTTATTTTAATAATAAAAAATATATAATATGTTTTACAAGTATTTACAAATAAAGTATAATT